GCTGATGTGCTCTTAACAGGGGACTGCATTTTCAGTTTTGTCTATCAGACTGTTTTTATTGAGAAGTCGCTTATACGTGTCTTGCTACAAGTCTGCGGGGTTCACGGTACACCCCTGTACTCCCAGGATGTGTGGCACACCAAGGAGCTGAGGCAAGTCAGAAGCAAAGCTGGAGGGAGATCTCTTTCACGACTTTGGCAGGGTAAGAATCTTGCCTGTCCTCATTCCAACAGCAGTCAATAGTTTTATGGGCCAAACCAATACAGCGGTATACAATGTGCCTCTGAACAGTTTAAACATCACCTGATTTTTCCTTAGACTCCTGAAGGGGAAGAAACAAACCTGGCAGCTCATAAAGTCAGATACGGCCCAGTTGCTAAGGTAACCCAGCTGATAAGAACAGTATACCAACAGACAACAACAGGCACAAGACTCATCTGCCTTTACATTTTCCCCCACCAAATGCAGAGCAGAATCAAAAGCAACAGGCAGGGTGGGGCTCCGTGGAGGAATAGCAATATTCATCCTTCTAAGCTGCTTGTACAAATGGGATAGGTCTGCCTCAGGCATGCACAGGGTGAACTCAGAGCTCAGTGGGTTTTATTGGGTCCCAACTCCCAACAGGACCAGGAGACCTTGCAGGGAGTCCAGCTGCACCTACCACTGCTTTATGGCACTCTGCCTTTCACACTCACGCAGTCGTTTGGTGAGTATCTGTATTGGGCAATGCTCGAGGAAAGAGGTAGTTATGCCTGCATCCCAAAGTTTCACTGGCAATGTTTGCTGTGGATTAGTGAACAAGTCTTTCAGTCCCAGAGAGCCAGTATAGAAAAAGACACTGGGAGCTGGAAGTCTCAGGAACCTGCTCAGCAATGTATTTCCCCCCACAAGAAACATCAGAATTGTAGTAGTGAATTTTAAGTGACTGAATCCCAAGTGAGGCAAATACCAGCATGTCATTAGATTAATATGGATGTTTCTTAAGCCAATCTCTGTGTGATAAAAGTTAGGACAAAACCAACCCTATTGCAGTCAGGTAATCCCACAACTGCCTCTTGCAGGGATTCCTGTGTCTTCTTTTAAGCAACTGACAGGTTTCTAGTGAGATCTAAAATGTCAGTTCCCATTTTCCTGCATGCTAACAAGCTGAGGTGGACATGGATATCTGAAAAAAGGACATTTTTGACACCTAAATAAAGTTTTGTGGTGAAAACCTGCCCTCGTTGAAGTCAACAGCGGAGCCATTGGGGCCAGAAGAGGATGGCTGCAGGGAGGTTTCTGGTGGCTGTGGTTCCACCAGGGCTGCAGTGCATGCCTCAGCCATGATGCGCTACGAACGCCTGCCAACGCAATAACCCCTGCCTCTCCTTCTACCTTGGGGAAGTACCTTTTATGACATATCAAAGTCCTAAAATGTTTGATAACAAAACCCTCCCAGTCAGAGGTGTATGGGGAGTGGAATTTCCATTCTGCAGAAGAGCTTATTTCAGGTTCCTCTCTTGATCGAAACTGCAATTGCGTTAAAAGAAAAGAAAAAATAGGAAAAAAAAAAAAGAAACGTATTTTTTTTCCCCACAGAGTGAAAACCTCAGAGACTTTTTGGAGGGAATCAAGATGGACTATTAGAAAAATTCAGAGCTAAAAGTAAGCCAGATAAACGGCCTGCTTGCTAGAGTCCAAGTTAGGAGCTGACTACCAACAAACACTGTTATTGTTTTGAATTAGCAGTTCCAGTGGGGAAAACTGTCCATTGCACCGCTCTGCTGAACTCCCCTTCTGAGGTACTTTTAGTATTTTCAAATGCTGTCATAGGTAGATGACTATTGATGCGGAGTTAGTTAGCTTAACCCTTGTCTGGTGTATTTACAGGGGATGCAAGTCTGCCTTTGGATCATCCCAACGCAATGACCTCTAGTTCTGACAAAGTTACGGAAAAGACTTGTGCATATTGTGTTGAGAAGATAGCGAAACATAATTTTAAAAATCAACTCTAGCCATTTATGAATAATATATGGGACCTTAATGAGAAACATAAAGATACTTTATGCCTCTTGGTTTGCTAGAGAAGTGTAAAATGGCCTTAGAGGAAAAGAGAATAAGACCTTCAACCTGAAATTCTTTGCTGTAAAAGG